GGGAAAATGAGCTTATAAGAAATACTAGTGGTCCTCTAAGAAAACCACCTGTGTACCCGGGCGGTACCACAGCCCTCACATGAATCAATGGTAACTGCTACTGACCTCATTGTTATTGTGTGGTATTTATGTATTTGGTGCCCCTGTACCGATGTTTATGTGTTCAAATAAATAAACAAAGTAATTAAAACACATGTAGGGACCCACTGATAATCTGTGTAAGCATGGTACATAATCCACAGTTAATTCTTGATAACTATCGCTATCTAAAACCCGATTGTCTAGGAATTGTAGCGTGATTTAACTATTCCTTTTAAGTACTAGTGACGATTGTAGTTTTTATTTGATACTCACTTTCCTCCTGCTTATTTTGCTCGTTTTAACAGCTATTACAATCTGAAAATACCAGAGACACATTTATCCAACTATTCTGTAATATGTTCACTAACTTAATAGAATTTGTGAAATATTCATATGCTAGTGTTGAAACCATTTATGCTAATTTATCCAAGTTGAAGAAAAATGAAATCCTATTACCTGCAATACTGGATCGATCTTGTCGTTTCCAATATTTACTAAAGTGTGTTCTATTAGGTCTAGATTTGACCAGTGATATCAATAATCATGATGATAACAGTGACGTACCTATCAAACCAGCTATTTGCAATGAACCCGCTGCTTTAAAAAATCAACTATGTGAATTCCTAGCAAACATGCTGACAAGTTTTCCAAACGATGAATTACTAACCGGGTCCAATAATTTTAATCCAGAAAATTGTAAACAAGTAATTAGATTGTATAAACAATTATCACATAAGTCCCCAGATGAGTAAGTGAAAGTTTCTTATTTATCCGCCTACAGAATTAATCCATACTAAGTTTATTTAATTTCCTAAATTAGTTTGAATGAGGATAATGATGCATCATAAATTGACTGAAGTCGAAAGTGATGACCACTGGGTTCCGACTTATCATTCTAAAGATATCATCTTGGTCAGGGGACCTGGACGTTGTTATTTCGATCTCATGCTTGAACATTGGTAGAGTCCCTAACTATGGCATAACATCGGTCTGTACTTGCAATGATCGATCATGTGGTCAACATTCGATTTCGTGTTTGAATAGTTCTGATCGAGTTCTATCAATCAAGTTGCAGTGTCCCTCTAGTCTAAATCAATCAACATATGCACTGTGTTTTTATTTTAGATGGTTGTAGAGAGTCGAGAGAAAACTCTGGGGCCAGGTTTTGTAGTGGTTGAGACTTCTCAGCTATGGCCACCTATTATCTTCGGTAAACTGATCTTTGTGACACTAATCCGCATCACCCGATCCTATTGTTCAAAACATTGCCGCTGAACTATCAGAACCATAGTTGACATTCCGTAGGAAACTACCAGTTTTGGGAAAAAAGGATGATAACATGACCTCGTAAGGCACTGAAGTTGTCAAATCTATGACCATATCGATTCCCCATACAACTGATTTATACCTCTGGATGAAAAGTTAATATACATATTGACCATTCGATTATTTGCTTATGAAGCTTTTTAATGTTACAGATCAGAAGTACCGATTGATATGGTGATCAATATACTGAATATTTTTGCAAATTATGTCTGGGAAAGGGACTCCACTTCATGTAAGTTGACGTTCAGATGCACACTTCGACTTTATTTTGATATATGAATTGTAGCATTATTCACTGTTTATTTTGCACTATATTTTAATTGTCATGAAGTTTTACAGCTCCATTTGGCTTTACATCTAAGACGCTGTTCTTACTGCATTGAAAACCTTCCAATTATACTTGAGTTCTATTGTATTAGTTTTTGTGACAAAAACCAAACAATATCCTTTTCCTAATTGACTAAACTAGTAAAATAGTCCCACCAAAAGGGGGTTGTTGCAATGTCTATTAATTTTTAAAAAAACCCTTTAGTCGTTAGTTGTGTATGCATAACATTCATTACCAGAAATTTACTCTGAGATAGTATATATAGTATTTTATAAGTTCAAGTATTCCGAAATAGAATGAATCCATCTTATGAATGTCTAACCCCAGTTGTCATTAGTCTGAAATGCCGAGCTGCAAACTTCAGAGACCAATCATTAAATATATATTTTATTTGTTGGATAAAAGATCTCGATTTCGTAAACATATTTCTGTTGTAATATTTTGCTAATAATTTGATGTATTGCACTTTGCCCGTCCAACAACTCAGCCCTGATGATTTATTTTACAAAATATTTTAGCTTTCTTTTAGATATACTTCGTAGTGGAAATGCGATTTCGTAAACACGTTTTACTATGTTCTAAGCAAATTTTTGCAATATTCCTAGTCTGATGCATTGTGAAACCGATATGTTAAAATGGGAGATCGTAGTGTTTGAAAGTAGAACGCTCTTCTAATAAAAACTGACCAACAAGATAGCTGAATTCTATTCATACCAAGCAGCAGAACTTGTTTACATAATGAAACACATTATTGGTGGAATCTGAAGCATGCGGTATTCATCTTCTTTCGACTTACCTTAGGATGAATCGTTTTTTAATACAGTGTACGTCTAACCTTTCATTCTGATCTTTTGAGTAGCCCGTCATAAATAAATCTAGCCAGTAGGTATTTGCTAACAACCAGTAAGAAACTGTTGGCCAATGTTCTGAACTGCTATTTAGCAGTACATTTTGTTTACATACAAATCTAAATAGTTTGCTTTTTTGTTTAGATATTGCATATCTTCCGTTACCGGCACTTGACAAAGACATAAACGACCAACTAGATACTACCAATTACTGCGCTTATTTAACTGAAAGCCTACACCACCTCGTATTAAATGATAATGTTAATGATGGTGATAAATTATGTTGACTAACACACCAGTGTTGTTTTTTTCAATTTTATTTTGTGATTACACGAGAAAAATTCAGTGCTGAAATTTTCCCCAGCTTACGATCAATACAATTTCGCATACACAGTACAAAATATACGATAAATTTGGACGAATATTTTTTGTACAAGCAACTATGTTTTCAAATCTATTTAAAAGAAAGAACTAGATTTTCTGAATATATTCCTTTCCTAGTTCTTTTCACTGAGATAAGACGTAATTAACTTCCATCCAATATTTCACTTTATTATTATGTGTATTTCCTTACAGTGTATAAAATAACACACTATGCTTTTTTGATTTACTTGGTTTTATATGTAAATTTTGTTCAGAAAAGTGCGGTTAGTTAAACCTTAGTTTTGTAGTGTACTAAATCGAACAATATTTGACAGTATATTTACAATAAGATGTTTTACATCTTATAATGTCATGATGATAGATTTGTAGTGATGGCTGTCCAAGTTAGAACCTATTGAAATTCGTCCTTAGAAGTAAGTAATCCGACCAGCTTTCTAAGCGCAGTTTGGAAATATGTAGTCTTAATACCTTAAATGAATTAATATACAACCAGTTGTAAACAAGGTTCCTCTAGACTATACAAATAAACTTAACAGAAGTCCTTTCTAGAACAAGTGAAGTATTTACTACGTAGTTAATGATATAGAATCTCAATATACAGCTTCTAAAAATGCTTTGAGCAGTTTCAAGTCTTATGACCGCAAACGAAACACACCTATTGTTGTACTCAAACAGCAACAGGTCTTGGATTTGAGCGAATATTCTTATTCATATAAATGAGGAATATAATAATGACACACTTGTGTCTGTAGTCTGTAACGTACGTTCATGTATACGATAGCTTTAAAGATACTTAGGAGCGTGTACTCCCAGTCATTCTCAGTGGTTGCGCAAGTGACGAAGATATACGATCCAAAATCAACCATCACCTAACCAGTAGACGTTTAACGTGCAAATCTCAACTACACATGACACTTTCATTAAGGTAAAAGCGGTTACCATTATCAGTAACTGTTGTCTCTATATCATTGCATGCTTTAATACACTGACCATATTGAAGCTTTTGTTTCTTATACGAACAGTAAAACTATTCCAAATTGGAAAGTAAGATCCATTAGCAGTTTCTCCTATGGATAGCTCCGAATGCTCTAATGGTATATTTGTGCTTTTTTATACTATCGTAATACTTTTGTATGACGTACAACTGAATATTAATTTGATACACCGAAGAATGAATTTTAAAACGCCCAGGATTGAAAATTCCAATAATTCCTCGCACTTTATTGAAAACGGGCTTATAAATAGCCACTGAACCAGTGCCAATAGTCCACTCAACCAACTAAAATAATATGTTTTCAAGGATATGGCAAACGCATATACTTAGGAAATGTATGGAGAGCTACTTGAAAAAGATGAACTGAAAACTGATTAACCTTTAAAACGAATGAGATTGTACTTTAATGTCGCCAATTCCTTTTAGATAACTGTAAATAAAAATGTGTAATCATTTGGGAATGAGGTTTCCTAAGTTTAAATAAATCTCGATTTTATGACGTGGAACACGACACAAGGAAGGGCTGGCGCTCACTAGTGATAACTTTCTGATTTTGTAAAATAAATTCCTTGACCATCACAACCCGGTTAAAGCACCGGAAATTCCCTTCTTGTCTTCTGAATTTCGTAAACAACACGCCCGTCACGAAAAGGCAGTGAGTAAGACTTCCCTGGCAATGGTATACGCGTAGCCATGTGAGAATATTTTGTGAGGGAGAGCGGACTCTCCTCACCCTCGGCGGTACCTGGGCATCCGGGAGCCTCTCATCAGTATCCTTACACTCTAAAAGAAACCAGTGACAGATTGGTGAGAAAGAATCCTTAAATTTAAAATATTTAACGCATTTACACTGTGCCAACTTTCACAATTTAGTTATGAATTCGTATGTAAGGACAACTTTTAGTCCTAAAACATGAAGAATAAAATTTAGTTTGTATTTCAGGAGAGCATTTGTAAATACAAAGACATGAACTAGTTTCTTTTCCGACGTCCTTTTTTGCGTCTTAAACGCTTCAGCTGTTTCTTCTTTTTCTAAATTTCAATCGTTAATTATAACAACAAACCTCACCTTTGTTGGGGGCGGTTTATATTCCAATTCTTCATCCGACTACGTTTTTTTTTAAATGTGTATACAAGATTAACAGAAATATATTTATTGATTTACTACAAGTTAACAATGTATAAATACATCACCTGAATGTTAGTTATCACGAAGGGAAGAGGACTACTAATAATACGTGACTGTGATACTAGTTATCAAAAATATAAATGACGCTTTAACTGGACACTGATATCAAAGTAGCAACCGACCAGTAGACCAAATGGTAAATTATTTAGGGAATAAGGCTGAAAAACAGTCGACACGGGTCGTTTTTGATTGCTGATTATTAGTCATATATTTAAACACAAGTACTGATACAAATGGGCACCAAAAGCATTATACACCACGCAATAGAGTAAATGAAACTTTAAAGAGGCAGACGACTTACGCCTGTTAACCATCGTAGAGGAGGAGCATAGGTCGCTCACCAGCATTCTCCAACGAACACTGTCCTGGGCGATCCTTTCCAGTTGCCATTCGTCCTTTTCATGTCTGCTTCAGATTCCCCATGCACTGTGTTCTTTGGCCTCCGTCTTTTTCGTTTCGCCTCAGGATTTCAAGTAAGTGCTTGCCTCGTGATGCAGTTTGATTATTTCCTCAATGTGTGTCCTATCCACTTCCGACGTCTTTTCCCAATTTCCTCCTCAGCTGGAAGTTAGTTTGTTCTCTCCCACAGTAGACTATTGCTGATGGTATCCGGTCATCGGACATTGAGTATTATGCGTAGACAACTGTCCATACATATCTGTACCTTTTTGATGATGGTTGTAGTAGTTCTCCACGTTTCAGCTCCGTACAGTAGGACTGTCCTGACGTTCGTATTGAAGATTCTGACTTTGATATTAGTTGACAGTTGTTTTGAGTCCCATATGTTCTTCAAATGTAGGAATGCTGTCCTTGCTTTGCCAATCCTTGCCTTAACATCTGCATCTAATCCTCCTTGTTCATCGATGATGCTACCCAGGTACATGAAAGATTCCACATCTTCTGTATCAAGTGTTATTGGGTTGGTGTTCTTAATGTTGTATTTGAGGATCTTGTTTATGTTGAGACCTGCTGATGTAGAGGCAGCTGCTACACTGTTTATCTCGACCTGAATTTGCTGGTATGTATGGGATAGAAGAGTTAGGTTGTCTGTGAAGTCCGAATCGTCTAGTTGCATCCAAGCTGTCCATTGTATTCCGTGCATCCCCTCTAATGTGGAGGTCTTCATAATCCAGTCAACCACCAGAAGATAAAGGGGGAGAGTAGGCAGCCTTATCTGACTCCGGCCCTCGCTTGGAATCCATCTGTCAGCTGTCTTCCGCGCACGACTTCGCAATGTATTTCATCGTATGAATTCCGGATGTTGATGATTTTCTTACGTACTCCATAATGTTGAAGAAGTTTCTACAATATTCTCCTATCCACTGTCAAATACTTTCTTAAAGCCAATGAAGTTGATACATAATGACGAGTTCCACTTAATCGATTGTTCGACGATGGTCCGTAGTGTCGCGATCTGGTCTATGAACGACCGATCCTTACGGAATCCAGCCTGTTGATCTCGAAGTTGGGTGTCTAGTGAGTCTTTCATTTAGTTCAGCAACACTCTGTCCAAAACCTTTCATGGTATTGACAGTAGTGTGATGCCTCTGTAGTTTTAACATTCGCTCAGATCTCCATTATTTGGTATCTTGATGAATTATCCTTCTTTCCAGTCCCCCAAAATCTTCCTAAATAGAACGTGAAGAATGTTTGCAACTGCTTCTATGTCTGATTCCAGAGTTGCGGCTGGTATATTATCAGGCCCTGCTGCTTTCACACTTTTGATTTGTCCCATAGCCATCCTGCTTTCATCGATCGTTGGTGGAGTGACATCTGTAGGTGCTGCTTCGATTTCCGGTTAATTGGATGGAGCTGTTCTATTCAAGAGTTCCTCGAAGTGTTCCTCTATCCTTTCAGTGATTGTCTTGCCTTCTTTGTCCTTGGCAGTTCTCTCTGGTTTACCATATTTCCCTGCCAGTTTCTTCGTCGTGTCACCTAGTTGTTTTATATTTCCTTCTCTTGCAGCTTTTTCCGCTGTCATCCTCCATGTATTTCTGCTTGTCGGCTCTAATGCTCTTATTCATTCGCTTGTTTGCTTCTGTGTATTCAGTTTGTGCCTTGATTTTCTGTTCTCGTTAGGCTTTTGTGAATTGCTGTCTTCTTGTTCTTGCTCTCTTGAATCTTATTCAGGGTTTCGATGGAGATCTACTCCTCATGATGATGCTTGTTGTGGCCCAGAACCACCTGACACGTTGAAGTTATTGCTTCTTTGATCCCTTTCTAGTTGTCCTTCATAGTAGTTTCTTCTTTCAGTAGATCCTGTAAGGCTTGGAACCTGTTGTTGAGAGCTATCTTGAGTTCGTTAAGTTTGCCAGTATCTGGAAGGAAGGTTGTATTGAGTCTTTGCAATACTGTTTCTCCAGTTGTCCATTGCTTCTTTAGCTTCAGTTTCATCTTGGTAACCACTAGGTGGTGATTTGAATCTATGTTAGCTCCTCTCCTGGTTTTCACGTTTCCCACTGATCTGAATTTTTTACTGATACAAATATGATCTATCTGGTTCGCCGTGATGTAGTCCGATGAGACCAAAGTAGCTTTATGTATGAGTTTGTGTGGGAATATTGTGCCGCCTATAACCAATTTGTTGAATGCACATAGAATTGCAAATCTTTTACCATTCCCGTCCCTTTCTCCTAGTTCATGTCGTCCCATGATATCTTCATAGCCCTTGTTGTTCATCCCGACTTTGGCGTTTAGATCTCCCATCCGGATTGCTAGGTCTTTTCCTAAGTACTTCGCTGTGATCAACTGCAGCTTCTCATACAGCTGATCTTTATTGTCGTCATTTCTATCATTGGTGGGTGCATCACATTGGATAACATTCATTGTAATCCCCTTCTTTGTTTTGAATGATGCTTTGATGATCCTGGATCCATGAGATTCCCATCCTATAAGTGCTTTTCGTGCTTCTTTGGACGCCTCAAGATGAAAGCCGAGATTCTTCGCAAGACACAAGAGCGATGTCTCTTCTAACAACCAGAGCAACAATTTTTATAGGTACATGGAAGGTCCGGATAATGTGGGAGACCGAGAAGTCCAGTCAAATAGCAATAGAAATGAGGAAATACAAATTGGCGGTTCTCGGAATAGGTGAAACCTATTGAACTGAAGCTGGATAGAAAAGGATAGATTCGGGAGAGATGTTGCTTTACTCTGATCATGAAGAAAATGCTCTGCATACTCAGGAAGTTGTCTGAGTTTTTAAGGATGTTTTGATGATCCCGGATCCATGAGATTACCATCCTATAAGTGCTTTTCGTGATTTTCGGACAGCATTAGAGGAACTTCCTGTGTGCAGAGCATTTTCTTTATTTAAGGGAAATTCTACCACCTATTGTGATTGTTAAGCATAAAATTTATATGTTATACGCATGACTTACACTTTGTAAAAGTATTTGCATTTGTCTCAGTCTTGAGGAAGTATCGGATAAACCTTTTGGGAGTAAAGAGCGTTCAATTCGTTTTTCTTGTTTTGTTATTTTCAAACGAGTAAAGTTTTCTTCTTCATAACTAAGAGATAGTCAGTAGTCAATAACACAGTACTTCTGTTTTTCTTTCATTTTTCTTCGTGTAAAACTTTCTTCGGAACCACATCCAAACTGAATAGGTAAAAATAGTTTATTAAATTAACATACATAAACTTCTTTAGGCAAATCTTCTGATTCATTTAAATCAGTGTCTTCTAAAATAAACCGAGCTGCTCTCAACTTGGCTCGTTCTATTGACGGTTTTTTCTTGCTTTCCTCTAATGGAATAAAAACAGAAATGATCAAAGTACCTACCGAAAAAGACTGGGGTCAAGTGTGGTGGTTGATAAACACCGTTGATCTTTAAATCCTCAACCGTTACGGATTCACATACTGGTCTATTGATTATGTCCTTATTTAACAATACAGAAGGCAACTGAAAAAACGTACCACAAATCTACCAAGGTTGGGCCGTAACTCTGTTTCATCCATAATTTAAAAAATTCGTTGTGACTGTTACTACAGAAGTGCTTCTTGTTCAGTGAAGTGACCATACATTACGACAAAAACTGAAAAACAGAAAAATCTAAAAGTAAACTACAGTCACGAATTAGGAATAATTATTTCAAAACTCCAACTGGTACTGCCGTAATCACGGATTTTAATAATCTTGGAAAGCTGACTGTCAACGCGTTACTGCGGGAAGACTCGATGTCTGTCACAAAATGTCGAAAGTAAAATCTCCGCTAATTCCATAACTCCCATGGGTAGATAAGCCTACAAATTTGGTAAAGAATCTTGTACACCCTGGAAAAAAATTCTACCTCCATTTGGGTAGCTAAAAATTATTAGCGGATCAATTTTATATAAAATCATTCGGAAGACATAGAAGAACATAGTTTGGTTATGCTATTCGCGCTACAAGTCAGATAAAAATATACTTCAGTCTACAGCCCAAGACTTAGGGTTTTGTATGGAATTTCGAGGAAAACAAATCAACATTCAACTTTTTATCAGCCCGATTAGTATAAATGATTCGTGGATTGGTTGAAGTTAGACATTAACACCGTTGGATGCCGGCTCAGTGGTCTAATGGTTGTGTTCGCGCGCGAAGCCAGTAGGTCTTGGGTTCGAATCCCGCGGGGGGCGGGTTCGTGGATGCGCACTGCTGAGGAGTCCCATACTAGGACGAAACGGCCATCCAGTGCTTCCAGGTTTTCCATGGTGGTCTAGCTTCAATTGGCTTATGATTTCAACTTGTGAAATAAATGATTCTGTCAAATGGTAAAGATTTCTGTTTTACGTATGGAGATATTATTAATGGTCCTATAAATGCGATCACAAGGCATGAAGTCCTATAGTCGAACGTAAATAAACCTGGTACACCACGATCACATTCATTTAAAAATTCTTTCACTGTACAAACTATTCGTCAACTTCTGCATCTTTTGTATATATTATATACCTTTATTTTATGGTTAGTAAACATGCATATATACTATCGTATGCATATCCAATATATTTACGACGAGCTAACGTAAAGCAATTAATTTCTTTGAGCTCATTTCTTGATGTTAAGATACGGCCCCAGTTATTTTGTGCCATCTAATGAAGGTATTCTAGCTACTTATCTACAGTGATCCCAGTGGATTTGCAAGTCAACATGTCTTGTGGACACCTGAATATATCTGTTACAGGCCAGTCGGTTAGTCATAACCTGAAACTACCACATTACAGGGCAGTTAATTGGTTGGCCATAATATGGAAGATTTTTAAATTAAAATAGAAAGGAAGATCAAGATAAGTAAATGGACCTGTTGAGGAACCAACCAATGTAAATAAGCAAACAAAGAGAAAATGGCGAATAATGATACGACGGTAAGGTAGAGTTACTAATGAAAGCCAAAATAGTGAGGTCTAGATGGGATGATTTTATTGGGGTAACCTGGAGCACTCGATACTGTGTACACTATTATTAGGATCGTCTTATTCTCACGTAACCTAACGAGTACAATCCCGTAGTGAAGTCGGTCTTCATAGGCTTTTTCTACCAACTTTATGGCACACATTGCCATACGTCCTATTACTTGCCACAAGAGACCGATGTCAGTTTTATGAGAGCATAACAATGTCGTAGGTCCCAAGAAATGGGTGAATGTAAGCTCTAGATAGTGTCGAAGAGAGCTCGAATCAGAACTGTCATTCGGGTGGTTGGAATGATTATAAGCGCAATGGGAGCTCTTGCTCTACGGGCTTCTGTAACTAGTAGCAGTGGACCACTAATACCTTCAAGTAGTAATCAAATTATATTTAACGAGCAAGGAAGATATGCTAGTAAATTACAACGAAACATCGTCTTCCTTAGAAACAGGTCAAGCTTTCACCTGAAGGACTCCAGTGAAGTCACTTGAACAAACTCAACCGATAACAGACTTCAGAAGTTGACTACTCATAAGAGTAAGCTTGATATATATAACTTATTGGTAAGACAGATAGGGCGGGTTTATGAACCATTGCGTGCTAAAGAACACCGATTCTGAAGATTATTCGAATGATTTAAATCACTGCAGTGAAAAAAATAAGACTAAAGTACTTACCAAGTAAATGAGTTTATCTAACAGTAGTTAAGGTTATTTAGGGTAAAAGAATGATTATTCGTGATTATTACAAACTAAATGTGTTATTGACCAAATCTTTGTATAACTAAGAGATATATGGACCGAAATGAACATAACCGAGAAAAGTACCATATCGTCACTTGAGGAGGAACGACCTACCAGAAACGAACTTCCCTCATTTTTTTCACTACTTGACTAAACCCTTGTAAATTGATCTTTCTTAAAACCTCAATTTTTCATTTCCTCTCGTTGTTGTATGATGCTGGATCATTAACAACAACTTCTTATTTGGTTAAACTCCGAATTACCGATTGAAGCGGTTGATCGTTGTTGCTCTTGGTATAGCTCAGCATTCTGTCAGATCATTTCAGAGAGAGATTCGGTCTCGTTTAGTCGGAAGTATTCTTCTCGATTTTCAGCTAGTCGTTTTGTTTATGATGGTGATTAAACGGTAGTTTTGACGTTGTAGTCGTGAATAAATCCACAAGATAAATAATTCTGTAAGCCTTAGATATTTTACTGGGCATGCCCTAGCATGGCACCACTACAGTGTACGCCGTGTAGCCAATACCACTGTCTGAAGGTGTAGCACTCATACTCATGATCGAAGTCTTTCATTTAACACACAGTCACCTGGACTTGAGTGCGCTTCGTTTCAGAATCCTGTACTATAACAAAACATCTCTTCAGTGCCTCAAAGTTTTTGGTGGTCGTCTTTGATGGGTACGTGATTTCAACAAAATCTAGTATTCTACATAATCTCATGCTGAAAATAATTCTGTTGTTCCATCTGACGAGGTACTATTGAAAGTACTGTAGATCATATGGCAAACACCCAGGTGAGCTTGTAATTTTTCTCGCTGCAGGTAGGCCGTATTTGTTATGCTTTTTTATATGAAGTGAATATAGTCCTCCCAGTAGACAGCTTTTAAGGACGAGTCAGCAGTTATAGACGCGCTCAAGGTTTATCTCCTTTCACTTGTAGCGAATAGTAACTACACACAAGGACTCAATAAGACCTTTTCCACTTATTGTAAAGCGATATGCATATCTGACAATCCATTAGTCTTGACCATTATCATAAATTGCAACGATCAAACTCTAAATGCTCGATCTGAACACGTAAGGGGACCTAATAAAACAAGAGTTATTCAACTACTGCAAAATACCTGCTACTGTGATGCGTACAGAGTTTCTTGGAATCACTCGTATTTAATAATTATATCAAAACATATTTTGTTCGCAATTTACATGGTTGGAAATGCAGACCAGACTGTTTTGGAAATATAGACAATCTGGATTTCCATAAAACTGTTCTATTGATGGTCCAATTAGAGGCTCAGGATCCACTATGAATCTTCGGCAATAACTTACTAGTTCATTGAATGTGCACAGTCGCTTGGCTGTGATAGATTCTTAGTAATCCATAGGCGAATATATAGGGTTTCAGTTTCATGCTCTCAGCCATTGGGATTCGGTGATATGGTGCAGGACGAAGCCACCCGTTCCATACCTGCATTCGATGGCATATCTCAAAGGGGCTGAAAAAGGGTACAAGAAAAAGAAAGGACGAGAAGCAGAGCAGACAATGTTCGTGAAGGGATAGTTAGGGTATGACTACTCAGTTTAATTATTTTTTATTAGGGTATTTATTACGCAAGAGCATTCCAATAGGTTAAAGAAAATAAGTGTAGACAAGTTATGAGTAAATAAACAACTAACAAATGAAGGTGGTTCAGAAGGAAGCTGAGAACATAGGGTTATGTGTAGTTATAAAATATAGTGCTGAAAACAATAATCTGATACACAAATGACTGCCTCCCACTTTTTGTGGAAGCTATTTGAGCCCTATTTTAGATTTTATAGGGTCTTGAGTATGCTTCCTTTTTAAGTGAACTGTCTAGTTTACTTGTAATAGGATTACTCGGTAGGAAGTGAAATCAATTCAACGTTCTAAACACGACTTAGAGAAGTTGTGGTGTTTGAAAGAACTAATGATTCTTTTATACTTGTTGAATGCTCGGTTTCGAATTCTAAATACAATACATTCATTCGTGCTTGTCTAGTACTTCTTGATTCAGTTGCGTTATTTCCGGGACTCTTAGTTCGTAACGTAATTCAAATAATTCGAAACATTATAGAAGTATAATAATAATAATAAGTCACCATCAGTACCATTAGTTCGTGACATTTCACTAGACCGTAAGGAGCCGTAATTAAACAAAATGTTCTGCCCTACAGACATAGGTGGATTGACGTTATCTCCTCACCATCATTTTTGCTGGTCAGTAGCGCCACGCTCCCTCCTTATACTGGAAGCGAGTAGGTGTGCTCCCAAGAAAGCAGGTTGCCCTGTAGTCATGATGTGGTGAAACACTGCTGGTTACATGCTGGAGTTTCGGCCATGTTCGAGGCAGTTTGTAATACTTACCGAGTATTGGCCGAAATATGGATCACTTATGGGCCGAAATGTGATTTGCTATAATCTACAATCAGTAAATGAAGCTTGAAAAGCAGATAATTTTGTACTTCCGTATATAAGAATACTTTTTCTTAAATTACCGAATTGATTATAATGTAGGTCTAACTGTGTCAGACATCATAATAAAGTGAGCGTCCTTATCTTGTATGATAATAATGACTATAATTTGCCCTCAAATTACAATGTGTTTCACGAGATATGTTGATTTACAAACAAAATTATACAAATGCTACAGGATATACTGCAGTATGTCAGTCAGTTAAGTTTATATGTGACGAGACACTGGTTATAGAAACAGGAAGATAAATTCGCGTACAGAAGAATGTGAATAATATTGATGAGAATCGAATGTTTGATGTCAACGTTTGCGCGCTTTTTGGAGATTGCGTCATGACGGACAACTTGTGGTCGAGAATTCATGAGAAGGAAGTCCAGAGATCTTCGCAACTAGAATAATTGTGATGAATACATGATCAGTCAGTTAAAAACGTCAGCTTAAACTTACTACTCTGTATTACTTGATAGTATTCTCAAAGTAACAGATTTGACGGGGTTCTTGTAAGCACAGCTACAAATCTTTCTGAACTATGGGAGATATTAGTAAAAGCCAAATGTTCTATACATATGTTTTCGGTGGTTTATTATCCCTGTTACATAGAATACACATGATGGTGCCTGAGACTCCTCAATTAGGACAAAAATTTATCAAATACCAATACCCTTTGTATCCAACACGTTACTAAAAATAAATATGGTACCATTCCGTCGTTACATTCGATTCCATAGCCTTTTTTATGTAATAGTCGCCTTTGTATTTGACTTCAGTTCTATCGATTGTTTGCGAAAACACTATTACTTTACGGGCGACTAAAATAATCTAGATGCCTCATGTGATAAGAACAATAAATATTTTCTGCTTTGACATAAGGCGTTGTGTCACTCTAACGATCGACCTATGTAGCTAAAAATAGTCACTAACAATTACAAATAATCAGTGTGTATTGGCATCGGACCATAACCACACAATCCTCAAAGCTGAACACGAGACAACTCGGAAAATAGATATTTAATATTTAACGCGGAGAAATACCTAACGATGGAGAAGGAGGGAAGAAGGTATTGAATGAATTGGAGTTGATCGAATGGCATGGCTCGGCCATGCAGGCGTGAACCCTACTGAATGTTACCTTATGTCTTTGATTCATATTAAATATATTGTTCTATCTCTAGCCTAAGCTTGTTCTACATCATGTATTGGTGGTTGTTACGATACGATGAGTTGGTGTAGACGATGGTATGACTTCTACGTAAGATCTTATAGATTAAGCAGTTATATCATGACAAGTCTACAATTTTAGGATAGGTCTATTATTGACGCAGTACTAATATCATAGTAGACCATAATTCTACAAGTGTAGTCTGGGTGAGGTCATGCAATAACAAAAACTGTTTTGTGAGTTTTTCAGTACATTAAAATTTAGAATTGTCGGAATTTCCGGAGTGATACGTCATGGGATTTTTTCCGTTCAAACTTTCCGAAAATCGATAGATAGCAAAATATTTGCATAGTGATGCAGAAAATATTAATAGGTTGTGTGGGGTCAGTATTATAGATGTACATACGAGTATGACATCGTTGATTATGGACGAACAGCCACCACCTACGGACTATCAACCATGTGATTTTTCTTATTATCATGGATTTCCACCATGGAATCACTGTGAGTGACAGCTTATTATTTTATTGAATAATGTTCTGTAATGATATTCTCTATTTCGGGTCGCGAATCCTGGTTCTGATATAATGTGATCGGTTTTGTTAACGCAGCATCGCAATATACGTGTGAAAGGAAAAAATACTGTAAACCATCCAGTATATCAAATTCACGTTTCAAACAGGCGGGGAACGTGACTCCTGTTTCTAAAGGATAGTCTATTATGCGAATCAAGTAGTGAAAATCGAGGATACAGTCACTTGTTATGGCAAACACTGAAGTGTAAAACGATTATGCAAAAAAATGAAGCAGTAGGCAACAACTCGAATGCCATAAAAAGCATATTGTAAATCATGAATTAGTAGCAAATATAACAAATCTACTTGTTGATATACTGAAACTGAAACGAACTATTTTGAAATTCAAACGACAGTAGAAGAAACTATACATTCAAAAGAAAAAGTCACAGGAGAAAGATACTTAAATGGACTTTCTAACATGGTCGTGCCAGAACTTACAAAGTGGAGTCCATAATCAATACTGAATAAAAACACACATAATATTTTTTGATATGTACGATTGCCAGTTAAAACAATCTCTGCTATTTCTAAACTATTGGACATGAGACGATCAAATAGTTAATAATAAGTGCTGATTGCTTGTCAAAAAGTAAACGGTGTTACCATCACATAAGAAACAATATTCCATTTAAAAAAACGGACAGATCAATTTGCTTTCCTTCAAAAGTGAGCACTCAAACTCTGGGACAACAATCATATGAAAAATGAAGGAATCATGAAATTAATTACTCGTCAAAAACAACGCTTCGGTCAAATAGTGGATAAGCAATCAAAACATACCTGAGCAACCTTAGGATATTTACACAATTTAGAAACCTTTGCATATGGAACATCTTAGTAAAAATGAATTGAAACAGCTGTTAAACACCCTAAAACATGAAGTTAACCAGCCACAATGAAAGCGTTATGTTGTCTTGACTCAGAGAAATCATTCATTATTTGGTAAGTGACTATTTTATATACCATAATAGAACTCAGTACATGCTATTCATCTGACTGAATAATCAATTGCAAGAATTTAATTTGTTATGCTATGTATCGGAATTATTTTCCAGTATGTTCTTTAGCTTTCCAATTTTTCCTCATTTCCACTTATAACAATCTTATGAGATGGATATTCTGATTATTCATCTGGGAATACTTTCAGGGTCCCTTCCAAACATATTAACATCTGGGTGGAATCCTATCTCCCCACACCATATATCTGTTGCTTTTAAAAAGGCTTCTAGCTGCCTCAACTACAGCCTCTATGGTTTATCGTTCCAGATGAATGCCAGATGACTAGGTTTAGCCATATAAAACACTGGTTGTTAGAGTGAAACTGGGTGAATCGTATTATAATTAATTTCACCAATGCTGTGTGCTTATAACTCCTCATTTTACTATTTTTTTTCTCATTATTTTTTAGCCCTCCTTTTATTTCATTTTGTCTTATTATTTAACATATTTTTACTCGAGGTGACTTCATACTACATCACTATGACTCACACAACCAACCAAATTACTGCCTGATTAAGGGACAACTGAGAAACGAGAAGAAAAGATTGAGAAATGAATTAGAAAAATTGACGAAATTTCAGAAGATCAACAACCCATCAATAAGATCACTTGAGCCAAGTGACTGGATGAATTCTAATTATTTGGAACCTCAATCTAACAACTGGAACTTAGCGTAAGTAAGCATAGCTCCTCCAACGGATATTAAAGATGATTAACAATGAACAGAGACCAATGTTTCAGAACAATGTTCTTTACAATGCCCTTCTTGGACCAGCTATGTCCGATGCATGTCTCATAGATTACCGTGGTTATCGTTATCGCATAATCAGTAACCATTCCATGTCTCTCTTGTTATCATTTCAGTTCCCCTTTCACTCTTTCAGTTCTTTCTTCATAAATATTATCAGTTTAGTAAATTAATTATTTATTCCTGAAACAATGATCTGTTGTCACACGAGTTATCACTTAATTATTATCACATTGTTACCAACAAACCTCTCACTTGGTAGTATGATAGATGCTGGTATCCAGAATCCCTACTTCCCTGAGACAAACGCACACAGTCAACTGCAAGACATACGAATCATAAACAATTACCTCAGTGACTAGAATTAGTACAGTCAAGTGGCTAGACTGCCATTCGTTGAACCTAACCAAATGCCTGTAGCTATACCAAGAACAGCGAAATGATCAGTTGGTTTATACAGAATTATGACAAAAATATTGGACATGTGGTTATGGAAATTTATAAACTGTTTTAATTAGCCACTTACTTTATGTTGTCATGATTAACAGCGTCTGTTTCAATAGCGCAAATTTCAGTTTGATGTGATGTGTGTGTATGTTGATTAATTTGCCTGAATTTTAAATGCAAAGACAAGTGACACGTACTATTTATTCAATACACTGAGCAGTGTTGTTGCTTTTTGCCTGAATATTAAAAAAAATATGATAGCTCCTCATTGAAAAATCCACCATGTCTCAAATTTCTCAATTACAAGTTGTTTGTATAAAGGGCTCTGTCGCTAGATAATGGTGAGACTATAAACCGTCGGGCGTTTACTCTTAAGCAGGACCACCATCAAGATGGACGAGTTTATACAAGCCACTCAGCCAATAATATTATGCATGTGACACAAAAATGCGACAAGTTTCTTCCTGATGGTCCACTTTAAAAAAAATTTATATTAGTAAAAAACCCTAACCATAATTTGTGGACTAACCAATCAGATTTACGATAATAGGTCTTAGATTTTGCCTAAATAGAGACTTGGCATTATAGCTGATCTCAGTTCGTGATGAAAACCCTAAATCAAATTCTAAACCCTAATCATCAACTGTAAATCATAATCCTTATTCTTGAAGCTGCTTTATAACCCTCACTTAGCCCAAGTAAGTTGTTAGACACTCTGAAGGTCATTTTAGCGTCGCTCAAATGTCGTCTCACAGACTTTTTTCCGTTTATTTTTTATCCTAAAATAGAGCACAGATGTCTCAACAAAGTGGATACTATAAAAGTAAAAGTCAAGTCAAGAATAGTTTTGACTTGAAGCCAAAAAGAACTTACCAGAAAATTCAGCGCAAAACGCACAGCGTTAATAATCCTCCTGGGAAAGGTCAGTTGAAAGAACAGACATACAGCAAAGTTGACAAACATCATAATGGATATCAACTTACACAAAATATTAATCCAATACAAAAATCAGAAGAAAATCTGGTTAAAGATAATAAAGTGTCAAGGATTTTCTCAAGTGAAAGTTCACCAGTTCCTGAAGTGTCATATTTAAGGAATTCTGTATCATTTAATTCCCAGTCTAACCGAAACATTCACTATGCATTTAAGGGATCCTCTAATGAGGTCAAAGTAAATCATTCAGGAGAAAACGGCTTTCAGTCCAATCATACAAAAACTAATGTGCTTTCACTTGTCGAACGCAACTTAGATATGGAAAAGCGTTTTGTTGATGATCAAAATTATAAGTTAAAAGAAAGTGGTGGCGTTTGCTTAGATCAATCATTTACCACAGAAATCCACCCTACTGAGGAATCAGACAATGATTATTCTAGTGATTTTAGTGACGAATGTTCTTCTATTTCATCTATCGTATCGTCCAAGACCCAGGAACTACTTTCTGTGGACAGACCAAACAATCATAAAGAAATGACCGGAATTTGTGAGTCAGTTTTAACGACCCGGACTTCTGGTTTTACTATGCCAGTTAAGGTAATCGGCAGTACTAACGATGGGATGGACATGAAGGTTATAGACTTTGAACAGTCAAACAGACTACCAAGTCATCATTATATTTCTTCAAATGTAAAGCGTAGAGCAAAAGACTTATTGAAATTGGTTTGTCTATCTTTAAATGAGTTTACCAATGTATTCGAGTTAAAACCAATAGATGGTTATGGATTTTATATACTACATTCAAATAAATGTAAAAATTGGAATCATTGTTATGTTCAAACAAATGATGATGCATTTCATAGAGAAGTACAAACTGAACCAATTGATATCTCTCATGATGTATGGACTCAACAACCATCCGATGAGAATGGCGAATTTTGTGGAAGGGTTGGTAGCAACAGTAAGTTTTGGAATCTTCTTCACTTATCAACAAATAGATTTATATTTCAATTCAGTCGAACAAAGTATAAACTAGGTTGAAGAGATCAAACAATCGATTGTTATATATATCGCAACATTGGTTAAATTTAGTTGTCCATTAGTTTTGGACGTCTACGTCTAATTAAGGTCGGTCAACTCCCCAATAGTCTAACCAGACTTAATAACGGGCCCTTAAGATTCTGGGTTTTAGCTCAATAGTATTACATGGATGATATTTTTCACAAGTTTAAAGGTGTATTTCTTTAAAGAGGGGAGAAAGAATGAGGCTTGGATCACAACGTTTAGCATTTTATTTCAAAATCTGAAAGTCGTAAACCCAGACTAAGGTTGTATAAGTTATTTTCACAATTCAATGAGAGCGCACATGTGGTGTGTGCTACTAATGTCGACAAACGGAAGTGGTATGCATCATCAATCGAAAGCAAGGTGTCTGACTGCTGAAGGTTAAGAAGATTGAAGAAAAGAGAAAGAGAACAAAGGTTGACTGGTGTGGAAACGAAGGAACAATAAATTATGAGACAATTGATTGACGTTTTGCGAATGAAGTGTTTACTGTATGGCTCTCAGATATTACTAAGAGATTCCGTAGTCTGTGTTCAAATGCATTTGGTTGTACCAACTAGTGTCCTCGTTCACTGCACATGCTCGTACATTAGAAAATGAATTAAAATTTAGCAACTGTAAATTGTGAATGAGAGTGAGTTAAGTTTTTACTGATACCAAAGAATAAATCACGAAACATACTGAGTGATAACGAGGTATTAGATGTGAACTTATTGGAGAAATTTATTTAACCTATAGATCATATCAAAGATAACATCAGGTCAGTGTCTGTGTACTTTTCGTTGGCACAGTAAGACTGATATCTCATTAATTTACCCAGTTGTGACTGTAAGAAAATATTTTTAGTTTTTTAATCACTTTCTGTGACTTTCCGTTGTTCTGGAAGATAGCTTCATAAGTAGTTTATTACTTGGTTTTTCCATTGTTTTTTTCTACTTTATCTTCGCATAGCTCCCAGTGATGACAGATAATTTTTTGTGCTAAAACTTTTGAGTATTTCATCTTGGTTTTTGGCATGTGAAACGTTTTGATAAATCACTATTGCTATTCGTACCGTACTTAAATCATGATTGATAAAATACCACCAAAAAACGATATAAGTCTAGTTCAGGAGTAAAAGAAGGTCAAAAATAAACAGTTAGATGTTACAACGTAAAACCAGGCACATATATGCGTCTGTTCAAGTTTCCACACATCATTAGCATAACAATATGAACACCAAATTCATAGAAGTAGTCACTTCAATGGTATTAATGTATAAAAGACTGTGTATAAGGATACAGCACAGGAAGAAAGAATTAAATGGTAGAAAGAAAGACATAGCGCAGTTTCAATTTCACGGTTCAGGGAAAGAAAGATGCCATTGTGATCGATTCTAAGTTATGTCACACAGTCTCCAACCACTTTTTACGATAGTCACGTGGACTTCAACCAAGTAGTCTGGATCTACCAACATGGCTTAGATTAGAGGCTAGTGACTTCAAGGACTGATGCCACTTTTGGTTTTGCCGTCCCTAACCTTCTTCCGTCTGTCTCCGACACTAGTTAGCATTGCGTGCCGTGGTAATCGGTGGTCGAGCATACATAATACGTGGCAAAACCATCTCAGTCGGTGAAGATTTACCATCATTCCCTAATACACTGTGTCTAACCTCACTATTACTTACGCGGTGATCCCAGCAGATGCAAGCAATATTTTTAAGACATCTGTGGTCGAATACTAGCACATTACGCGTATCTTCTACTCCTAATGGCTACGTTTCACACCCGTAAAGTAGAACAGAACGAACTGCTGCGTAGTATACTCATCCTTTAATTGATAGACAGACATCTCGCCTTTGTCATAGGTGACTTAAGTTGGCAAAAACCAAACGAGCTTTTTGAATCCGTGCTGAGATTTCGTCAGACACCAACCCATTAGGGCTGATTAGATTTCCAAGATAAGTGGAGTTGCCGGCGTGTTCGACTACTTCACTCTCTATCCCTAAGTCAGGCGCTGAAGCAGATCAGTCCTGATGCAACAACTTGCATTTAGAAGAGGAGAAACGCATTCCAAACATTCTGGGATTGCTGATCAGTGCTGTCAAAAGACTCTGGATTTTATCAGCGTCTTTGCCAAACAGGACTATGTCATCTGCGTATTCTAAGTCGATAAGTGGACCTCCTGAACGGAGATCGATTCCTGAAAATTTAGACGACAAGAACGTTATTTCCAGCAGTAAGTCTACGATTAAATTGAACAAGAATGGGGATAGTGGTCAGGCTTGTCAGACACCACTTAAGGTTGCGAGACCAGATGACAGTTCGCCATAAGCTCTGACTCGACTGGTAGTGTTCGAGTAAAGAGCCTTCACAAGGTTTATGTACTTCCGAGGCACGCCTTCCAATGACAGACACTACCACAGAACCTCTCGGTCTACAGAGTCAAATGCTGCTTTCAAGTCAAGAAAAACTATCATTGTAGGACGCTGATAAGCATGCCTGTATTCTAGAACCTGACGAATGATGGATATGTGGCCGATGCAGTCACGATCAGGTCTGAAGCCAGCAGTTCACGAGTATTAGATAGGCTCCCGATAATTATTGAGGCTAGTATTTTTGATGCTATATAATCCCTCTGTGCCTATCACAGGATGATTTTGACCCCTTCTTATAAAGTGAATCAACTAGTGATTGCGACCAGTAAGATGGGATCGCGTCCCTCTCTCAGATTTGAGCCAAAATATTATTCAGTCTAATCGCCAAAACTGGACCACCCTCCCTAAAGACCTCTGAATCCAATTCATCTGGACCAGCTGCTCTTCCTCGCTTCAGATTAGCTATAGCTTTTTGAACTCCAGTTATAGTCGGGGTGTTACTTCAATGTTCCATTCAGGCTGCTTGGGAATGGTGAGTAGATGTAAAGTAGCTGAAGGCCGGCTGAACTGTTTTCTGGAATGTTCCGCCCATCGTTCTAAACGTCTGGACTGAGAGCAGATGAGGGTGTCGTCTTTTTCCGAAATAGTCTGACTTACACTTGACTTATTAATTCCAGTTTCTTTTATTAGTCTGTAGATCTGTCTTGTATTACCTACAGCCGCCACCTTTTCCATCTCTATTTGCTTTCGTTGCCCACCACCGCTGATGGTCGTTCCTTTGACTGTTGATTAACCTAGATCTGATCTACTTTCGCTCTTCATCGTGTTCAGATCCTGATGGGATGAGTTTACGAGAATCCATTAGTGCAATAGACTTAGAAGGAATCCATTGGTGTTTTGTAACCCTTTGATTTAAATCACTGTCAGATGTCACTGCTGTTTCCATGGCTGTTTGTATATCTTTCCAAGCAATATCTGAGTCAGCCTAGTTTTCAAAATTACCTAGATGTGACTTCAGTTGTTCCTGGAATTTACTTTTGGCTTCCTTGTAGTTGAGTTCAACTTCAATGAGTCTTAATGTGGTTTATCTGCGTCTAAAGAGGAGCAAACAAATGTGTGCTCGCATTTGAGCATGATCAGAGTCTAAACATATATTTCGAAACAAGTGGCAGTCTTCTATCGAGCCTCTCCAACGATGAATGATGGCAATATGGTCTCTGAGTTCATCGCTGCTTTGGTGCAGGGGTCACCATGTTAGGTGATGTGTCTCATTATGCTTGACACTAGTTCTTGCTAAAAATGAACGATTGTCTGAGCACAGTTACAGTAGACAATCATCATTATTTGTTCGCTGAGCTGGTATACTAAAATACCCGACTAAATGTCTTTTTGTTTGGTTTAAGCTACCTACCTGGGCAATAAAGTCACCTTTTACGAGTACTATGTCCAAATGTTTAGCTTTCTGGAGAAGTTCAGAATTCTTTCTGTAAAATTCATCTTTCACTTCATCCGGGCTGCAGTCAATGGGAGCGTAGGGAGAAACGACAAAAAGGCAACGACGTGTGTTCCTATCCTTCAGAGTTCTTACGGAACCGTTTAGCTGAACAGTACATAGGCGACTGTTAACGGGGATCCATTCTAATAGTGCTTGTTCTGCCCTCGTACTGAGTGCTACGCCTACACCTTCCCGTCCACAAGAACTAGCCATTGGGTCACCAAATAATCAGAGGGTATATCTCGTCGATTCTCCATTTTGCCGAGGTGAAGTCAAGTAAACAATCACACTAGGATCCTTTATGCGTGTTTTGGAGACACAGCATGCATCAATGGTACGAGATTCTAGGGTTTTAGTCAAGGAGGCCTATTGACAGATTCGACATAGGTTGCGTACGTCGAAGGCCCCAATGTGTAGTTTGGAGTGAGGTCTCAGTAGACCTGGGACAGTGTTTGCGCACTAGAGTCGTTGGCTATGGTGATACTTGAGGAGGAAGCCAAAAGATGAAGTATAGGGTTGATAGTTGAGGTAGAAGTAATTATGGAAACTGAAGAGGGAAATTGATTATGAATACAGCGGTCTTGATTGCTGTTAAAGGCATGAGGGCAGTTATCACTTCTTGGTTGCCCAAACCTTGGAAGAATTCTTCTAGAGATGCCTGCAAAGGAAACCGGGTTGGAGTTGGTCTTAGTGACGTGAGAACGTGACCGCAGTGCCCAGGGGACAACTGCTTGAGGCAGGTCGCACATGACATTTTTGTGGGTAATTTTCGTGTTAGCTCTGTACTTGTCGAGACCTTACCGCCGGAGACGGACAAGGCGAGGTGTGCATTTTTCGGGTCAACCTTTTCTAACCCCATCCCTCCTTGTGGGAAGACATCATCGCTTATATGCTGGTTGTCTGAAGGAAACAGCTTACTGCCGTCACATCTCTGTGGAGTTAGCACTACGACTTCGCCTTCGGACCTTGGGTTTGCTGCTTTTAGTCTTACCGTTCTTCAACCGACCTTTCTGGCATTGTTGGACGCTGAGGAATGATTGTTCCGGCCAGCATGGCCTGATCGCTTCATCACGACAGACAAGCCCAACCACCACGTCAAGGTAGCAGCAATGGTCGGGTATATTCGAAAGTCAGTCCTGATGATGGGTTTCAAAATAAAACTTTACCTCAGGTTTCGGTGGGTCTTTAAATAATGCCGTTTTAGAACGTGGACTTTACATCAATTGAGTCATAAAGACTTTTAAGTTGATTAAATTAAATGTTCTTATAGTCACAGTTTTCAAAATCAATATTCCTAATATCTTAGTACCTCATAGAGTTGTTCAAAATAAAGTTTTCGAATAATAGTTTTCCTGGGTCGAAACAATATGTTAGCGAGTTATTTGATCACAAAGTGAGGATTATTATTACCCTGTGTGAGGCATTCATTGTTTTTGTTAAAGCGAGTTATATTGATATTATATTTTATCTATTACAAGGAGTGGTTCATTAAGTCAACAAGAACACATATTCGAATACCATTTAACTTATTTCTATGATGTCAGTTTTAAGGTGTATTAAGATTGTTTGGTAAGGTCAGATTAAAACGTTAATCAAAAATCGGAGTTGCTTATCAAATTATTTTTATATTTGTTACTGTTATCACAGTTTAGTTATGATAACAATATCTCATTTCATTATCCCGAAGTTATTTAGTTTCCTTGTGCAAACATTACCATGAACTTACATCTGTAAATCAGTCGGAAACAAAAATTACAATTTTTTCTAAAATTTAATGAATGCTTCATGAGCAGTGTAAACTGAGATATTCAGCCATTTACTAAACAGTTTACCCATACAAGTTTTTAATTGTAGAGCTACCGTGCCACGTGTTATGATACTTTTTGACTTGCTTATATTAAAACTGCTAGTTAATATCCTTAGCCTTTACAATATTTGTAAAATAAAGATCAGTACGCGGATCTGCTATTCAGATATTAGGTCTCGTCAGTATATTTAATCTACTTACTGTTAAATATGCAATTAAAATATTCCTGAATTATACAAAACTTATTACTGGAATATTTTTTATGTTTTATTCCAAAAATACTTATTTAGATAATTCTCATATAAATGGTTCCTATAATTTATCTTATTCTAATGATTTCAATCATGTTTCATCCAAGACAATTCTACATGAATTAGCTAAAGAATTTTGCCTGGGAGTTAACACTTATAATACTGCTGTAAATGATGAAGTTGAGCATGTTACTAATACTTTCTCAATAAACGAATTCAATACACCTGAAAATTCCACCTCCATGATGAATCCCAATCATCGATTACCTGATAGTCTATTAGAAAATCTTCAATTAATGTTGAATTTAATCAATGAAGAAACTTTAGCAAATTTGTCGTATTTATCCAAGGAGAGTATCACAGATCAAAATGATTTGCAGTCGACTGAAAATGATTTTGTAGAGATATTTTTTCAGTTGAAAGATGACTGCTTTTCAGTAGAATCGAAATTTGACCGTGGTTATAATGACATTCAAAATAAGGAGTTGCAAAATACGCCATCTAAAAATAACGTTACCACAGTTGATGCAAATGAAATAAGTAAACTTCAAAGCTTCTCCTACTTTTGGGAAAATTATGAATGTGTTGCGTGTGATTGTGCACCACAAAACCAAACAGTAATTTTAACCATTCATCGACCAGTTAGGGTGAGTATTTTTCTAATTTTATTTTAATATCAAATCCCCCTGTTCTGTCTTGTTCTTCTGTACCATTGAAATTTGTGTAAATTTAATTTGGTAACTTATTTATTCTTTGAAGAAGGTACGTACATAGTACAAAACATCAGAATTTCAATTTTCTACTCATTGAGATATAACAAACATATTATTTTATTATCGTAAATAAACATGATGTCATTCAATGAATAGAATATGCATTGGCTTAAGAATAAGGGAACTCGTCATTTCACTGTAAGGGAATTGTCATTAAAATACCAGGAACTGTTTTCAAGGTTTTGGATTTTGTAGAAATCCCCGGCAGGGCGAAAATTGTTAAAGGTTCTTAAGTAAGAAAGAAATATTTGTCCAGTGGCTGCCTGGTTTTAGAGCTTGTATTATCAACTGCCTTTATTTACCACCCACAAATATTCTATTGTCAAGAAAAGTTTTAGGACATGTCTTTTTATGATTATTTTAAATTGTCCTGTCATAATTTTACTTCAAAATCCTTAATTTTGTCTGAGATACACGGTTAGATTCTCCTAGATTAAAGTTCACAGTAGAAAATCGTCGATAGTGTGATAAAAGCAGTACTATGTAAGTATCGGTACTTTGAAAAGCTTTGATGTATGGCGAATAGAAATCATTTTAGTTTAATAATTTAGAAATTATTAAAGAATTTTGGATTTATATATTTCTGTTAGTCATGTTACATACAAGCCAAAAGGTTTCATCATTTAAGTTGATGTTATTTTGTAGCAACTAAGGTTGACAAACTTTTAAATAGTATTTCAACAAGTTATTATTTTGTGTTTCAGCTAGTAGGATAATAAAAGGCTATATTTTAACCTATTTGACAGTCCAGTAATTAAAAATTATCATTTTATTTAGAATGGAGGTTGGGTTTCTCAATTTTTTGTTTTTTGATGATAACTTATATTTTAGCAAGTACGTATTTATATGATTTATATGATATGCCGGGAAGTCGCATAAAAATTTGATTATTTGAATAACTTCTTAAATTTAAAAACATCTAAAATAACTTTGACTGCCTGGTTCCATGAACATAGAGGGATAAATGAATATTTATTACTTAACACTATCTATGAAATCAAAGAGATGCAATTCTATTTTGAGCGGTTAATTCACTAAGCACAATTATAGTTTGTTTTTGCTACTCCTACTAGATGTAATTGTAAGATGGGCAATATATACTGAGCCTAGATTGGCTGAGGTAGATAAGGGATCCGCTATGGACTCCAAGTGTCTATCCACCATAAAACTAAATGCTGGCAGTATTTTAACCACATTACACAGTTCACAATGTCACTTAATGTTGGTATAGATTGACTAGGGAGATCATAAGGTCTTGCCCCAGACAGAAATTAGCTACTATTAAATCTTCACAACATGGTTCGAAAACGACCACAACTAGAGAGAGGCATTCCTCTCATACGTTCTTCAAAAAACCGAACATCTTCTTTTTCCTTGCACTTCAACATATTTTCTCGTTTATGGTAAAATTACTCTATTTTCATCTCATTTTCGTCCCCTTTTTGTTACAAAATGTAGCAACTTGTACAAGTCCAGTCGTTGGACCTTTATGTCTTTATGAGTGTTTTTTAATCAAGGTGCTTGATGCTGATATTTTAATATGCAGTCTGTACATTTTATAATATAGCACAACATTTTGTAAGGATTAAGTTCAGTTGAAGTGTTGGATAAACAGGAAAACAGATCAGTTTTGGTTATATGTACAACTGTGCAAAATCTACATATAAGAGCACCTGAATGCATTTTACTGCTGGCTATCCACGAGATACAGGACGTTTGTTCTATCAATTTTGAAATTCATGATTTCGAGGTGCATATCACAGCAAATGTCTCTATCCCCTTCAAAAATAGAACAGATTACCCGCCGTTTGAAACACCAGAGTGTCACAGGTCAGACTGTGGATTTATAATAACCACCCTTTATTTAAGAAATACTAGTTATTCTATAAACAATTGTATTTTCGAAGTATATTAACTTCCGCAGTTCAGATAATACCGAAATCATGAAATAAAAGACTCTCAGAATAACATGTGGGTGAACGCGAAGGGATTATGTATAAAAAAAATGATTGTCGCCCTGTGTAATTTGCTTGATGATGACATAAAAAGTAAGACTAAAGGACGGGCTGCTTGAGCATCTGGGCTACCTGTTCCTGCCATCTAGATATTTCAACAAGTTATCTATTTTTGTTTGTTTTAATATATCATTATGTCTATTAATCGCATAACCTATTCTGCTGCGTTTCTGAAAAGTGTACAACCTTTCGTTGTCAAGGTTACAAAAAACTCAATAAGAGGCAATGTAGTTGCTGTTAATATACAGCGAAAAGAGTGCACATTATTCAGATGTTCATTTTCTGAACTGCTAACATCTAACTGGCGATCACTCAATATTTATCGCCAGGACCGACGAAGAAGAATGAAACGGAAACTTGTTGAAATACTTTGCGCTGAGAATTCTATATTGTACCAAAAATATAATATTGAATAAAGCTAATAATAATAATAATAATAACAAAAGACTTCAAAAGGTTTCGTTTGAATTCTGTTAGTTCGACAATAACTTGTAGAAATTACCTAATTTTCTTTTGATGATTTATTTTGACTACTCAAAGTAATTTTAAGTAGACGAAAACGCTCGATAGATATTTCACGTACAAAGGTTTGCGTTATTTATTTAGTTATTCAAATGATATAGTTATATATGAATTGTTAACTGTTAAGTAATGAAGTCGTAAAAAGTTCAGCAATTCAGTTTTCAGAAAATTAGGTGTTAATCGGAGTCTTTTTGCCACCTTAGGGTTTGATTCAGGAGTTTAACGTTCGGATTATGGAATACTCGTTTTTCAGAATTTTAGCCTATTTATTAGTGATTAAGAAACGAATCTTTCGTTGTTCACTGGAAGGCAGCATTTACTAAATCATAAAAGAAGTAAAAAGGAGAGTTCGGATTCGAAAGTAATGGTCTATTTGTTCTTAACACGATCAGATTAAGAAACTGATTAGTATGTGCTACAAAAATGTCTGAACTTAATATGGTGAGTGATCGTTGAATTTTAACTGAACTAGCTTTTTTTTCTCAGATATGAAAATTTTCTGTAATGATCCTATACAAATAGTGGGAAGCTGACTAGATGCCTTTGAAAAATTATTATAGTAATTACCAAAATCAATAGATTTACCAAAATATTATGCCTTATATTTATAGCTAAAAGCAAATTAACGGTTAGTCACCTAATTCACATTAAATATTTCACATCGGCATAAACTTCTGGTGATTAGTTTTGGCTATATGTTAGTGCTTTTTAGCAGAGAAACCAGTTTGGGACCGCTTTTTCTGTGTAATGTTACTTGCTCCTTTGAAATTAATGATAATTCACCTATTTATTACATCTCGTTAGTGCACATCATACAACAAATAAGTTCATTGTTTTTGCTCTATAATGAGAAGAACATATGCCGGATCATTTGCTAGTTATCTGACTAACAATGACAGGCGTGTACGGATTAATAAGTTCTTAAAACTTAAGTTTTATGATGAAATTGATGAAGTCGGAGAAAGATTGCCAAAACATAATTGTAGATAATACACCTTTACACACTGAAATAAGTCTGTAAATCACAATAGTGATTTATACACACGCTTAGAAACAATTTACATCTGTTAGTTTTATTATTCACTTTTAATTAACAATGAAAAAAGTGGATTATTGTAACACCTTTAAATAAGCCAAGTTATTTTAAATTTGGCTCATAGGTCAAAAATATCGCATTGATTTAAAATGCTTTTATATCTACTTTTTCTGCTTGTAATTAGCTTAATCAAGAACAAGAAGAAATAAAGAGTCTTTTTAATTATAGCAGAAGTGCTGGTGAATTTATATGTATATGGACAGAGATTGGTGTGAAACTATTGCCTGACCGTCTACTTTATTGTCCAGGCTTATCAGAAACTGGTCTAAAAGGCGCCAATTTAAATTGTGCAGTATTTAGTCCAGATAATGATGCAAATTTGGTAAGTAAATCAATTAGTGAAAAAAGAAGCAATCAAGGCTTTTTCCGGTTTCTCGATTCTTAAAAATGTGTGTAATTTTATAGAAATTCTGAAATAATTTCTGATTTATTACTTCAGATAACAACTTAGATTTATAAATATCAATGCCAGGGTTGGACCTGACAGTTTCAAATAAATTGAGCATTGGGTAGAAAGTTAATGGTAAATATATTTTTGTTATATCCAGATGAGTAGAAGAATTGTACTTCTGACGTTTTGTGATTTAATGTAAGTCACTTCTTCAGAGTAAAAAAATAACCGAAATTAAATTAGCACAAGTTTATATAGTACAAAGGAAACAATGTAGGATCTGCACTCGATGTAAAGATTTCAGTTTTCATTACTGTGACTATATCAAACAAATCTATTCCCAAAGTTTCAATTTCTCTCTGGATTCACATGAATAAAATTAAAGAGCTTGAAGACATTACATCTTAATGCGTGTCATTATTGTAAATTATTTAGGGATGATGTCAACATTTTCAAACTGAAACAACTACCTGGTATATCATGTATAAAATTGAAACATTTTAAAGTAACAGTAACTATAAAACAAGATAAACGATGATCAATGGAATAAATTGGTTCGAGTACAAGAAAAATTCACTGTTTATTTCATCAAAAATCATGAATCTCTTTTTATACTTTGTGTGTATTCACTGTGCTTGTTTGATCGTTTCTATTATATATATCTTTTGTAACGTTACCAGTTGGATTATTTTGATTTAACCCACTTTTATGTAAGAATCTACACTACTAGATTTGTCCATTTATTTTTTAAAACCAGTTTTATAATGTTTAATAGGTTTCTTTAACTGTCTATTGAGGTATTATAAATTATCAAACAAATCACACGTAATCTGTTTATATTTTTCCCATGATCAAAATCATACTTATTTGTAATATTCTTGTCTCATAATTAATATATTACAAAAGGAAACAGTATCATAAATGGTAAAACATTAAATATAAATGGTTAACTGTATATTAGATTACTTCCAATAAGGTGAATAATACAACTGTTGTTTATCATTTCATGAATAATAATTTAGTTTTATGTTACATTTTATTACAGTATAACCCAGTATTTATTTCATACATATGTTTGTTAAATAATTGAATAACCTGAAGTAAATGAAAACCAGCACAAGTAAAACAATTCACCTATGATTTATCTCATTGATTTTTCTTTCATTTTTAACAGAAATTATTCAGAAAAACTATTTGATAATGCATAAAGCTCTTATTTACTAAAAATAATAGTGATATAGCTGATTAGATTTACACATTTGTTATTAAAAACAACCTTGTAGTTTGAAGCCTACAACCGTATTCAAAGGTTTACACCTATTCATCAAGCAGTGAAACAATGAATGTTGATACTTATGGACAACAAGTTGTTTAGTATGTGCTTTTTATCATTCCTATGATTTGTCAATCGGATGCAACAAATTCTTACTCAATGTAAGTGTTCTGAAGTACAGGTTCTCGCTAACAGTCACCATTAAACTTGTAAACTATTTGCAGTGATATTTAAGGGATTGGATGATCACTTCAGATTGATAGCACTACTCAACCAGGATAGCTAAATGAATCAATAACTAAAAGAAATAATCTTTCACAAGAAATCGTAAAACCATTAAGCGAGAGTTAAATCCATCTTTTTGACAACTTAAACCATATATCTTTCTATCAAAGAATAACTACAGTGCATAACAATCCACTCTCCATTACTTTCTGAACTTTGAAGAGAGAGGAAATTCAAATTTTACTGGTAATCGACCAAAGATGTCTTTTAAAGTATTCCATGTATATGATGAAATTACTGAGTAATGTTTTTCTAACTGTTAAGTAATCAGTCATCTTCATGTGTTACAGATTTACAACACAATTTCCATTACATTTTTACGAGTCATCTATATATTTAGTTACTATTATCCATTCTGTGTTATAAAGTCAGATTTCTCCATTGTATTTATTTTATTTATAGTATTATTTGGAATTACTGGCTTAAAAAAATGGTATATTGAAATCAATACTCATTCTTTTCTTTTTTTGTAAGTAGAACAAGAAATTTATAATTCGTATGTGTTGCTGTTCATTTAGTGGCATAGTTTATGAGAAAAAACACAAAATCATAAGACCAGACAGTTAATTTTGATGTGAAATTGATCTTTTGTTTTGCATACAGTAAGTAAACTAATTACTATTATTTTTTGTTGTTGTTACTTTCGGAATTTAACAAAACAACAAGGTTTCAATGATTCAAATGTTTTCTGTCAATAAACAATAATAGAGTTCTATGTACTGACATACATTCTACTAGGTATAATTTGTATATTCATTCAAAGGTCTACTATGTACCATCCGTTTATTTGCTGATTTCGACTGTTTCAGTCATAGTCATTATTTTACATTCAGATAATCAATCTTTTACGATCGATTGATCACTGGGTAGTGACCACTGTCATTTATGTCAGGTCCTTCTGAGTGTAGATCAAATTCTACCGACTAAGTTGGAATATGGCCACTAGTCTAGGTAACTCAACATCGCGTGCTCTGTGTGGAGATGTAAGGTAGTGGTTAGAGGTAGTCGACAGGAAACCCTGGATCTAGGTTTCAGTCTATTCGGTACTCGTCAACAAGGTTACTTGTAATCTTGAAGGAACTGATGCTGCTTGACTAATTACGTCCCGTGTCATCCAGCTTCACAACCAGTGACATTAACATTCAGCTATCCGGGCCGTGACTGACCTCCTGTAGGAATGGGATTGAAGTTTTCCTATAGCCAAAGCGGTTTCATCACAGTAAGTCAGTGTTCTTTTTATGTCACTGCCAATCAAATCTGGGAAGGATTGTATATAGTTATGAAATATAAAGTAAACAAAAAGCTTCAGTATACTCTTTATACATCTGTTAGACGCTTGATGCTTAAACTCTGGACCTTTAGTCAATATTATTAAAAGTTATAGTTATAGTCGTTCATCTTTGTAGAGGCTGTTTCTACCGGTTATTTTTTACGTATCCTACCTAGTTCTGTTTTCTATATAACTGTTTTGAGTGTTGTGCCCAATGCATAACCCCAGTTCCTCGTTGATGCAATACCCTCAGTCTGATAATTTAGCCAGGTTCTAGTCTCGTTTTCCATAACCTTTATTTTGAACCTCACGTTTTGTTACTGTACAGAGCTAAGTTTTCTTTAGATAAATATCCAATTATTTTAAACGAGAAGTGTAATTGTTTTCAGCTGTTTCTATCTCGTACATCCACTGATTCCATGCCTCAATGACTTTTATACCCAACTTTAACAGTATCGTTTGTCAGTCGTTTGCTTTGAATACTATCATTTCATTTAACTACAGAGTTAGCAGTTGGTGAGAGGCCCTGAAATAAGGATCATTTATTTTGTTTTCAATGTTTTGACTTGTTGGAAAACAGATATTTCAACTTTCACTGATTTGAGATATCCATTTTAAATTATTCTCATATGACTTAGGAGATGTATAAATGATATGCAGATAATATATTGTTTGTAAATAGGAATAGTCAAAGATAATTCAGAATCACGTTGGTCTTAGTACGAATAGCTCACTTTTAGTGTGTTATGTTTCAGATATGACAAAAAATAAGTTTAAACCTCTAAGTAAACACAATGTTTTGTAAAGTTGAAGATACATGGCCACCTATACAAATGTGTAGGCCAATTATTTTCTAACCGTTCAAATATTACAATTAAACCACCTGGTTTGGAGTTGCCTAAACTGAATAATTACGAATGCTAATCGTACTGTATTCATACACTATTATAAAACGGTTACACATTATCGAGATACCAAATACTGGGAAACTCCAACAGAAACACTTCAGTTCTCTCTACATCTTCCTTTAGATCTATCGTTTGATGAAATGGGAGTGGAATATTCTGGAATTCAGACACCTAATATATGATGGATGGGAAGGTAGTTGCAGCTGGTGAACTGGTGGAAAACTTCAATGATTGAATATGAGTGCTAGATATTGACTGTTAGAAACAGTTTTAAGAGTATGTTTTGAATGAATGTGTTTTGAAATTATGTTAAAGCGATAATTGTTGTAATGTCGCACATTTGGTGCTAGGAATTCTATGCTGCATATATAATCGAGCAATATTGTTTTCAATTAGATCGTCATCATGCTTGCTCTAATATACATGAATATTTGTATGAAATCTTTTTAAACCAATCAAAGCAACTTATGAATTTATGATCAAAATGACGTAGATTGCATAATTACACACAATAAGCAAGATGCACAAATTGATGATTAGAGGACAGGTGTACTAGTAGTGATAAGAATAATAAAATAAAAAATGTTATAGTCAATAGTTCAACGTTGGAAGTAGGTCAAACTTGGATAGACAGACTTTAAAATAATAATCATAAAACGTTATTATGATAACATCATAAGAATTGTGTAGATAATTAAATATTGAAGAATACAAACAGAAAGAGGCGAAGGATGAAAAACAAATACGGGTTATGAAAAAAGTTAGTAAAAAATTTTATTAAGTCATATCTGGTCAAGGAATGGATGAAAGTGTCACTTAGTGCTTTTCAACTCATAAACTAGGTTTACGGATCCGGATCCTAATAGCTTCTGGTATACGTACCATACGGGATCGAACCCCACTAGGAAATGACAAAGGTTTACGATAGATCACTCAAAATGACTCGGTTTTATCTATCGTGTTCATTGTCAACCAGAGGTGCCAAGACTGACCTATGTATTGTCTTTGTTCGGCCCCTTTCAAACCAAGTTGGTAGTTGTTCACTCATTCGTTAATTAAGCCTTTTGATAGTACGCCCGATATAACTATCTCCCGAGGAGCGGTTGAAGTTGTAGATGTACATTGAGGAGGCAAAATCAGGTAACTTATCCTTTGTTTGAGTAAATAACACTGGTCTACTAGAAAATATCAAGGT